CTTAACCCTTGGATTAGATCTACAATCTGAACATTCATAATCACAAAATTGCCACGAGATTTCTCAATAATCACAAAATTGCCACCGTGCAACTTTAGACCATTAGATCATTAGCTTATAAAGTTGATCAATGAACATAAATTGGTCTTATGGGTCTCACGAAAAACTTTTTATCTCACGTGAACCCAACCCTATATATATATATATACATACATATACATATATATATATATATATATAGAGAGAGAGAGAGAGAGAGAGAGAGAGAGAGAGAGGGGGGGGGGATATTCAAGGGAAAATCCTACAAAAATGAAAAACTAAAAAACACCTTATCAACTATTTGATTAATTGATGTGATTAAATAGACGGTTACAAACAATATTTTAAATTTAAAAACCCTCACTCTCTTATTTTTTTCTCGGGAAAAAAGAAAAAAAAAAACGAGATTTGAACGAAATAAATTACATCAAAGAAAGATCACATTTTTCTCGTTAATTTGATATACTTTTTCATCCGTTTTTCATGGCTTTTTGGTGTTTCTTTTATTTAGTGGTTTCCCTCTGCCCCCGCACCCGCCCCTATATGCACGCACGTATACCTTTCGCACCATGACCTAAATCAGACACTTGTTATCTTCAGAGTTCTATAAGATTTTTATGGTTGTTATCTTCAAGATAAGTGGAGATTTTTTTAACTGTTATCTTCAAGGCCTCATGGGATTTTTCTGAATGTTATCTTAAGACTTCAGGAACTGAGGATTTTTCTAACGAGTCGTTTAGGTAAATGACCTAAAATGAGTTTTTAATTAAATTCATGACCTCCTGGTTGTATAGGAAAAAACGAGTTTATACTCACAAGAAGGTCATGGACTTAATTAAAATTAAATTGAAAGTTATATACCTAAAAATCTCCTTTCTAGCAGTTATCTTCAGGACCCATTTGATCAGTCCAAATGCATATTAAACGACCCGGGTTCTTACGATTACCCGAAAAATAACATAACTTTGCTCGTGGTCGATTGGATCCGTAAGCTCTCTATATTCATCAACGATACTAAGGGGCCGTTTACCAAACACTTACTCGGTAAACGTTTACCGATAAAATTTAACACTACTACTTACTTACCGGGTAAGACTTTTAGTCCAACAAAACGACATTGTATGCAACAATTTACCCAGTAAGCGCTTACCATGATAAGAGTCGTCGCCCTCACTTACCGGGTAAGATTCTCGGCCCTTGTCTCCCTCTTACCAAGTAAGATTCTTGGTCCTTAATGTATTCCCCCGATAAGGTAATGTGACTTGATAAGCATTTACCCAGGTAAGCGTTTGGTAAACGGCCCCTAAATGTCACAAGTTCCGTACTCTCTTTAACCGATAAAACATGATATTTATACGAATCAACACTTTTAAACATTACATAAAATGATCAATGTATCGAATAAAACCAATAAATCGACATATTTAGCTTCAAATTAGAGCTTATTTTCATGTTGTGTTGATCCATGATCTCACTTAAACGACACACCCTTCTCATTAGCACCCATGCTGGATGTAGCTCTCATCTTAATCTTAGCTCGATCGATGAAATTCGAAACCTTTTCATGGAAGCTATCGTGCTTGGAAACGGTGTTCCGACCACCACTGACATCCGATGGAGCGCTCATCTTCATCTTCATACGCCCAATAAAACTATCGAACTTTGCCTCACCGAAAGTGGTCTGATCCGCCAACTCTTTGCCGCCGGTACGATCTCCGTTTTTCTTGACGTTACTTGAAGAAAAACGCACAAAATTCTTAACGGATTTCACCTTCGGTGGAGGAACAGCTTCGATCGGGATCTCTTTAGCCGTAACGGGCTGTTGAAGAGCCATCGGTTGGGTGTACGAAACTCGGGCATTTGATGATAATGAAGGATATCGATTGGGATAACGAAATCGACCGAATGTAGCTTTACGAATCTTATCACACGAAGTTCTCGAAGGGTTTTGGCTTGATTGGTTTTTAGCCATTTCCGATAAGAGAAAATCCGATGGGTTTTCAAGATATCGAGGTTTCGTGGCCATTTAATAGGCGATCGTCGAGCTTTCATCATACGATCCTTAGTTTGCAAGCTAAGATCCATGACAAATGTCAATAAAGGTGGGCAAAATTGGGTTCAAGAGATTCCGATCACACTTCTAACTCATTTATGTATTGAGTTCGGATCATATTCCGCTTTTCAGTCCCATCGTTTCTTCACTAAAATCAACTAAAAAAGCGAAATCAATCATTTCTTTTTCAAATTGTGTAGAATCGGATTCTTGGATTGTCTCAGGTACTCACCGTGTATTTTGACCAAATAATTGTGGGTTCAAGACCCGCGTTAACAAAATGTACTAATTGATTGAGCAATATCCGGATTACCGGTACAACACTGCTTTTTTAGAGGTCATGAGTTCAAACTTCATCATATATTTACAGTGCGGATGTATTTACTGTATATAAATTTTATATATTTAAATGTAAATCTATGTGTTTTAAACCTTTTAGAAGAAAGAATTAAAGTCTAAAGATGCAATGCATTTCTAGGAATCTTGATAATTGAAAACTGTATGTTTTTTATCGGTTGATATTTATTGGATATAAGGAACCGAACCGATCCAATCATCTATTGGATGTTGGATTTTGTCAATCGATACGATTTGATTAACATTGGATAACCGATTCTATCCAATCAAATGGTTGATTGGATCTGTTCGATCAGTTACATCCATTAGATACTTTTATTAGATATCCAATGGATGATCCGATGAGATTTGATCTATGAAGTGTGTTAGTTCAATCCAATTCTCTAACAATGATATAAATTAATTAATCACTTTTAATATGTGTTAAAAGCAACAGAAAAGAAGTTAAAAATTCAACGTCTCGCATAAAACAAATTCCGATTTAAGCAATTTGAAAAT